ATACCTAGTTTCAAACAGGTAAAAACCAATGTAAATATAAAGGATCAAAATATGAGTCTTGTAGATACCACAGTGTTTTTAGGAACTGCAATGGAGCCCACATATTGGTAGATTGTCGAAGAGACGTTGTTCTCAACGGATACAGAAACTGTCAGATTAGTCTACTGTAGTTATTTTCATAGTTTAATGTCTTATGAAATTTTATGCTGCCGACATTCAAACTATATAAATTTGTGTTGCAGAAGAGGGCTATTCGATACATTTATAATTTTAAAATTATGGATACCTAGAGATAAGTTTTAAGAAATAGGCAAAAATCACAATACATATATGACAACTAAGTATTTAAAGAAAATATTACTAGAAAAAAAAACACTTGGAGCAGGCAGCAGACGGGATTCGAACCCGTACCCTTCGCTATACGGGCGAATACATTGACTATTATGCTACCATGGCCCCAATGGCCGTGTCGAATTCTTTCTAGCCTTTCTTAAGCTGCAAAGCAGCGCCTTCTCTTCGCATTGTAGGCAACCCACAAGGTCAAAGGAATACTTTTACAAGTACATAATAAACATTTGAAAGAAGAAGTAGGAATTAAAGTTATACTTGTTTTTTGAAGAGATGGTGACGATTTCGATACAACAATTAACCGATTATCTCCAATAAAGACAACGTTAGAAATCAAATACAATTAGCACTGAAGTTTTATTCTGAATCTGTTCTACAAAAATAGTTAATTGAAGTAGAATACGCCATGTTTTCTTATGAGAGATTTTTTTTATAATTTATTCATGACCATGGATACCATGGATGGTCCTTCAGACGTATACATAAACACAAATCATAATCTTCTTTTTATTTACATTAGAATATCGGTATGATGCATTCTAATGGTTTTTGCCCCCCTAGAATGAACACCACTATATGATATTAACACGTTTTTATCACGCTCAATTGTCAAATTATTATGGATTTTGACAGTCTGGCGCGATAAAAAACGTGATTTTAAGTAAATTGCAGTGCTCATGCTATCGAGTAGGTATCGAGTTGTTTTTTTCGAATTATGAAAGAAAAATGAACAGTGCTGCTAGAAGTGATTTTTTTTATTTTTGTCAGATGAAAATTATTTTGTATAATTTTTTATTAAGAGGGTTTTAATACATTTCTACAAAAATCCCCAAAGCTTAATTTAACAAATAAATAGTGTTACCATCCGAGTGGAGTTCGGTTTAGTGAAACGATAATACGCGATTATCTGGTTATACTTTATTTCAAAAATTTAAAGGTAACACACGAGCGTGGGAGAATCACAGCACCGCGCGTGGCTTTAAGTTATCGATAGAGGTGTAAAAGTAACGAAAAAAAGCGTACCCGTATGTATTCGTTACTTTAACAATTAGTACTCGTTACTATAGTATCGTTACGTTACTCGTTACTTCTCATAAAAAAATCGGTTTTACTATTTTGAAATTTTTAACCGTGAGCTTATGTTATATCACAATAACATCGCAATCCATTATTCATCAATTATAATGATAAAGCAACAAATAGGTCTCCAAAATGATTTTTTTGATAATAATACTTATATAGCATTCTAACGATAAATCAACATAAAAATAGTTTTGCTTAGAATGCAATTAAACATAACGAAAGAAAGAACTACCACAAAAATCTTTTGTTCTCAAAATAAAATTATAAAAAAAATAAAATTATTTTAAACGAAATCTTTTAAGTTGGCTTTTTCGATAAGCTTCTGTGAGGTAGTCAACACGACAATAAAGTTCTCACGTCCATTTGACCTGAATAGCATATATTTTAACGATTCCACTAATTCTTCAGTTACGTAGATGGTTGTAACACAAAATCACACCAATTTTATTTCACAATATCCACTTTAAACGAATTTAAAAATAATTAAAATAAGACGCCAACCGCACTCGATGAAATCCCGCCAAAAACTCGTACATACGTTTCTAAATTCTCCGAATATGCTCGCGCATTCTTAAAACATACGATCAGCAAATGTTTCTATACACACATCAACTGTACTTGCTTAAACTGAAACATATAGATAGTCATACTACGAAAAATGCGAGTAACGAAATTTATTTGTGTGTAACGTTTCGTTACTCGGTACTAGATGGCGCACCCGTTACTCAGTACCGAATACATACGGTTTGCTACAGCTCTATTTATCGAGTCCCGGCCAAGCAATGACTGACTCCATCGCGCACGCGTTGGCGCAAGTGACGCTACCCGAAATGTCCCCCCGCGCGTCCCTTCAACGGCCAATATCTTTCCTTTGAGCCAGAATATAATACACGCCACAATAGCGGTTTGGTCATAACATTATGAAAAAAAAACGAATCAAACAAAACAAACTTGTCACTCACTGATGCCAGATTGAAGGGATTCCCCCCAAATTTGGGGGGTTTTTAAAGCGATGGGGTCATAATTGGGGGGAAAATATTTATGGGGGGAATAAATTTGGGTTTGGGGGAAATGGCGGTTTATAATTCCATTTTTTATATAAAAATAATACCACTTCATAAACGTTTAATCTGTAAAAAGTCGCAATCAACAGTCTGTCTTTCTCATTCGGTATAGAGCATGACAAGGATGTAGATTGTTAATTTTATTAGGCTTAGAAAATCATGCAAGAATCGGACTGTGATCATTCAGTGAACCCGATTCGGACCCCTAAACCGCCTAGCTCAGTCGCTCGGTCAGTCAATTCCATGTCAAGTCAAGCAAGTCAGTTAGTCGTTAATGGTCGTTAGCTTAAACTGCAAATCGATTCGACACTGTCTATCATCTTGGCTCTGCTAAATCGTAATTTGTCCTTGTATTTGTTTGCACCTTGGTAAGATAATGGCACTGCACTATCAAAACAAAGTTATTTAACAAGATTAAAGCCAGAAATATATTAATATTTACGTGTCATGTCATGTCGTGTCGATCGAATATGTTTCTGGCATAAGGAGTGGGAAAGACGACGAGTGCGAAGATGTTGATTTAGAAATGCAGGGTTACCTACCAGGTCTACCAATTTTACAGATCTCCTGTTTTTCTTAGAATACGATTTTCTTTTTTAAATTGTATGTTGAGTTGCGATTTCCGCCATTAAGAATGTAGGTAACCTTTATCTGAAATAAATGTTATTGTCGTAAACTAAAAAAATGGATGCGTGTAACTTATGTACGCGCGTGAGAAGTTATACTTCTTTAGCATCATTAAAAATATTTTTTAATTGCATGCAAATAATTAATAATTACAATAAAATGATAAAAGGACTGGAAAAGGATAGTTAACACAGTCAATTAAGTTCAGTTTCAATTTGAAAAATTAAATAAATATTCAAAATATTCAATTAAAATCACTACTGAATTTAAGTTATTAGTACATATGTAATTACCTAGCACTTCTAAGTAACTAAAATACGTTGTGTCTATATAGAAACTAGAAACATATGGATAAATATTATAAATATGAAAACAGTGATCAGAGGCGACGAGCGTGCCAACATTGTTTTTGACAACGCGATGATCTTATGGAGCTCCGTGGATCGTTCAAAATACCTTTCGAACAGATAATAATGGAATGAATAATGGTGGATTATTAACCACTAAGTGGTTAATAATCCACCATTATTAGACACTAACATTCATAACGCGCCCGCGGCCAACTTCATGGTGTTACTATTGTGTTACAGTGATGCGCGCGCATCTCGAAATTTCACTCACATGATATTTTCATAACGCGCCCGCGGCCAACTTCATGCTGTTACTTTTGGGGTACAGTGATGCGCGCGCATCTAAAAATTTCACTCTCATCATTTTTTCATAACGCGCCTAAAGAAGTATAACTTCAAAAACTAGCTTTGAGGGGTGGCAGAAGCTACCGAAACACATTCGTTACGGGCCTATTCTTGATTTGATTTACCAATTAAAAATCAGACCCTGGCAACACTGCAGTAATTGATGCTATTGCAAAAATACATAATTTTGTAGTAAATATTGTATTTTTAATAAATATTTTGTATGTTTGGGGGTTTTTGCTTTTAAACCCTGTATTTTGGGGGAAGGCGAAATGGCTTTCTGGTAACACTGTTTTTCCTATTGATCGATCAGGCATAAGGACAATGTATCCATTGCCAATAAATTAAAAAAAAGTGGTCGATCACCATCACTAAGTTTTGCAGGTATTTCGTAGGACTTTTTGGCGGGATCGGGAAGCGTCACTTTAGCAGTTTTGTTTTTCTTGTTAAAAATTGTGTTAGTGTCTAATATTGGTGGATTATTAACCACTAAGTGTTCGAAAACATGCATAAATGCTGGCAAGTGAAACAAAATAGCGGAAAGTGTCTTTCGACGTTCCCCCAAGAAGTCCACGGGGAGGTTTCAGTAAATCCCCACACATTTACTGAAACATAGGGAAAGGGGGATTGACTTGACTGCCACTTACTTTGACTTGACTAATATTTTGACCCCGAGTGCTATGTAAACATTTTACACTTGACATTGGCTAAATGCACAAACCGTGCGAAGCCATATAGAGAAAAAAAAAGGTATTTCGAAGGTTGATTTCAAGTAGTGATGTGCCGAGTCATTACAATGTATCGTTTGACGTTTTAATAACAGTCGTGTGACGTCACACACTAGTAAGACGCCATATTGTCCAGAGAAACGTTTTCGCGGCAACTTGAAAATGGAGTTTTTGACAGAATGATGAATATCCACTTTTTACGGACTCCATAAATATTAGCCAATAACGTGAGATCGTTGCCTAAAACTTGTCAAATACCCTATGGAACGTTTTAGAAGGTTTGCTATGATCTAACAAGATGGCGTTGCCATCAATATGAAGCGCTTATCCAAATTTTTAAAGGTATCGATACTTGCCAAAATGTACTCATTTAGTAAAAGTATCGAATACAAAGTATCGAGTACAAAAGTATCGGTATCGAAAGGAAAAGTACACGATACCACAAAGTATCGATACTTTTTTCGTGTCCCTAGGCACATCTCTAATTCCAAGGGCCTAGCCTGGTATTTTTTTTAATAGTAAAATTTTGATTTGAATACTTTATATGTTATTAATGTGTTTTTACTCTCTAAATAACATGATAAGCTTGAAGAAAACAGTAAATAATTACTATTTCTGTTCGATGATTTTAAGACATAAAAGATGCTATTCAAAGCGTAGCAAAGTTTTTGATGCTAACTATCAATATATCCAAAGAAGCAAGGTTCCGACGATGCACTTTCAGAAGTCCTTACCCCGACTACCAGTTCCGGAACTACAGAAAACAGGAGAGCGTTATTTAAATGCACTGAAACCTATATTGTCCAAAGGGCAATTTGCCGAAGCTGAAGGACGTACTAAAGATTATGTAGAATCATCTGGTAAAATTTTACAAGAAAATCTTATTAAAAAGGATAAATCTTCCAAACATACAAGTTATATATCAGAATATTGGTTTGATTTATATTTGAGGGACCGTGCTGCTCTCCCAATTAATTACAATCCATTAATAGTCTTCCAAAACGATCTGAAACCAGCTTACAACAATCAGTTAGTACGAGCAGCTAATATTGTAATAAGCTCTGCAAGGTTTCTATCATCATTAAGGGAGCAAATTTTGGAACCCGAAGTTTATCATATGAACCCAAAGAAGAGCAACACCCCTTTATTTAGAACTGTTACAGGATTGTTGCCTGAGACATTGTCATGGTTTGTACTTTGATAATTATTTACATCTAAAATTATCATAGTAAAAATATGCTTACCATCCCTTATGTATTTATATTTAAATATATATATTTGGAACCCACCCAGGTTTTAGTGGTTGGTTTTATGTATCTGTATTCCACCGTAACTTTTAAATGTGTGAATCAATTTGTAAGTACTATTAGTATAATTTATTTATTCATTTATCACCATCACACAAGCAACACTGGCTTTTTTCTTTCATTCCAAAAAGGATGTCAAATTAAAGACGTTGATGAAGGCATACCTAAACTATATAATTTTAATACATAAAATTTACTTTGTGTGTACAATTATGTTACATGCAAAACAAATGTATTTTGATAAAATATGAACACATGGCTACTTCCTTTTACATGTGTACAGCATAAATCCAAACAAAATTGAGATTAACAACCAGTTTGTGAGAGGCTGATCATTTAAAGTCAACTAACAGTCCATCATGTGCGTTTAACTAACCATTATGTCAGCTGAAAGCCTATTTAACTAACCACTATGTCAGTACACAGAGCTTTTAATTTAGTTCAAGACAATTTGTACACAAAGATGTAGATTTTTTACAATTGTCAAATCATCAAATATAATTGATACTTCGACACATAAAGTCAGCATTTCTACTTAGTTTTTGGTGTTAAATTTGGAGCAGTTTTTGAGGTTTCTTAAATTTATATATTTGTTTGCTGGTATTTGTAATGTTCACACAGGATCAAATAAATATCTAATTTGTTATTAATGTTTTGATTACAGGTATGGTGCTTATTTATTTAAAGCTTTTCCTTTAGATATGAGCCAATTTGAAGGATTGTTTGGAGCTACACGTATCCCAAATCTGGACAAAGACAGAATTTTGAGAGATCCAACAAGCAAACACATTGTTGTACAGAAAAATGGCAACTTCTACACATTTGATTTATTTGATGTTAATGGTATTTATTCTTTTTTATCCTATCCTATACCTTAGAAGCTACTCTCTGTATACAACTTTTCCCCTGACATTATAACATAGAGGTATTAGAATACAGTTGGGGAGATATAGACTCTACTCGACAAGTGGAAGTGTCCCTCTAATAGAAAGAGAAAGAAGGTTAGAGACTGCTAGCTTTCTCTCTCTAATCGCGCATGCGCATTGGCAACCGTAAGCATCATACCAAGAACACCCAGGTTTGCGCTTTCACAGCAAAAACATCGAAATTCCTTCCCCTTCCTTCTCTTCAGTGCACAACACTGGCGCTACAGAGCAACATCATCATGCTCGGTATGGAAGTTCACAAAGACCTGAATGCAAAGGACTACATTGAAACCGTGATCAAAACAGCTTCACGCAAACTCGGAGTCCTGAACAAGGTGCGGCGTTTTTTCACGCCCGATCAACTGTGCTTGCTGTACAAAACGCAAGTGCGGTCCTGAGTGGAATATTGCTCGCACCACTTGGATTTCTCCGCTAATTACTTACGATACGATACTTATGATGCCTTGGATAGGTTACAGCGGCGCGCTGCCCGCATCATTAGGAGAGAGTCTATACCACGGCGAGTGTTCTGAGGAGTTATTCTCCCTTATCCCTCAATCACCTTTTCTACAGAGGACCACACGCGCTGGCCTACGTTGCTACCGACTTACTGTGGCCACTTTTCCTACATGAACAAAGAAATTTGGTGGCTCATTTTTTTTGTCGTATCATTCGTAAGTGGAATTCTTTGCCCGCGCCCGTGTTCTCCTGGCTGAAACCGTGCAATACCTACAGGAAATGGTGAGCAGCCTGGCTGAATCTTCCAAACGCATCGGTCTCTGGATGAACTTGGATAAAACCAAGGTCATGTTCAACAAGCTCGTTGATCCGGGACTGGTTGCTGTTAATGGAGTACCTCTCATGTTGTTCAGGAATATGTCTATCTACTACAAACGCTCTGATTAGGCAGAAACAATTTCGAGAGAGAAGCCAATAGAAGAATTCAGTTCTCTCGTCACACATCCCTCAATGTCTCAAGTCGTAAATCTTCGACCAGTGCGTCCTCCTAACTAATCCACCAGTTTAAAGTCGCTCAGAGAGCTATGGAAAGGGCTATGCTCGGAGTATCTCTGAAGGACCGCATCAGAAATGATGTAATCCGACAGAGAACCAGAGTCACCGATATAGCCCACCGAATTAGCCAACTGAAGTGGCAGTGGACTGGTCACATTAGCCGCAGAACTGACGGCCGTTGGAGTCGTAAAGTTCTTGAGTAGAGACCGCGACTCGGTAACGTCCTGAGACAAGATGGGATGGGACATTCGTAGGCTGAATGAGAGTATGAGAGTGGCAGAAAATCGGGAGCACTGGCGTGCATTAGGGGAGACCTATGTCCAGTTGTGGACGAGCATGGGTTGATGATGATGATGACAGAACAGCCCGCAATCGATGTAAAGTTGATCAGTAGGGTATCTTACACTTTAAAACACGTTACTTTTATCACTGCACGTTGGAGCGCTAAACCTCAATGAACCTTGTTTTCACCGCTCTGCCCCACATAGGAATATTGTAAATCAAGAGAGACTGAACCAAGGCAACTTAAGTTCTACTCAAAAGATTCTTTGGTGTATTTTTGTGCATACTTTTAGATATGAAACTGTCTGGAGCCACATATCTTAGTGTGCGGAATCAATTAAATAATAGAAAAAAGTCAATTGCTGAAAATGAGGATACCAAGTAAGCTTCTGATCCATAGAACTCCTAGATACTTATAATTAGTAACCCATGTAATGATTGGACACTGACGATCCGTAACGGTTTTAGTTGATAATGCAGATTTATAGAGCTTGAGATTCCATAAAACACAGTGGTTAAATTTTTGTTCCACGACAAGTATTGACGAAGTTGTGACCAAACGCCTTAGAAGAAGAGCCTTAGCTCACGGGCTCGAGCGTGCGTAGAGACGCTACTGAAGTTCGACCGGAGTGAACCACGATTGAGCTCTGTGACGTCACACGTTTCGATCGCCGGTGAATATTGGCTACCATAAAATTAGTTATAAAATCGCAACGAATGAACCTATTCCAAGGATTTAAAAGTATATTAATTAAAAAGCTTATAAGATCATTATACTGTTGATTTTGAGTTGATTTGCTGGCCTAGTAATGATCCTCATTGCAGCTTATGTAAGTAGGTCCCTACATAAATTTTGTCGTACTTTTTTATTTATTATTTTTTTCCGAAGTAATGCCCATTAATTAAAGAAATTAACAATACAAAAAACTTAATTAATGAAATTAACAAAATAAAAAAATATTAATCTTGAGTCCATGGTCATTAAACCCCTCCTTTAAATTATTTATAACTGGCATAGCACCACTTTGTTCTCGTTTGGACTTTATAAAAAACCAAATTGTTCATTGTTTTACCTGCTACAATTTTGTTTTTTATAAAATTTTCGATAAAACGTATATTTTTGGAGATATTTGCAAAAAACCGATGGAAAAACGTGAAAAAATTGGGAATTTTCAATTGCCAATAACTTGAAAAGTATTGGATTTTTTGAAAAACTTTATAGATGATTTTTTGCTTAAAATTAGGCCTTCTATCGATATCCGAGGTTATTTTGAAAAAAAAAATATTCACCCCCGAGAAGGGGTGGCAACCACCCCCAGGGTGGTTGCGGAGTTCAAATCATTTTCACTTTTGAAGTTAAGGGTAAGATGAACCTAATTCCAAAATTGTATGCATATCGGTTCACAGTAAAAAATTTCGGAGCAATAATGCTTCAATGACTGCACTAAAAGGTAATTTGTAAGTAATTACCAGGTAAGTAACTACTTCGTGTGGCTCTACTAATTTGTGGTAAGAAATTTCTAAGGTGTGTGTGAGTGAAACAACTTGCTCGCAGAGAGCGAGGGCAATTTTACGCGGAAAAGCATATCAAATCAAATATATTTATTCGTCATCACAGGTATAATTATACTATAGGTGACAATAATCATATAGTAACACGTGTTCCCGACAAGGCATGCGAATATTTTATCAAATATTTTTCCAATACCGCTTAACATTATTATACAAAAGATAATAAAATAAATACATATCTACTAAATAATTTAATAAATTAACATAGAAAGATTATAATATTAATTGTGTAAGTCGATAAAAAAACTCATATAAATTATAATAACATTTTCCAATTACATATTACGCAAATCTAACTAAAATTTACTTACATGTATTTAATTATTTTATTGATACCGGTACCTACCTCGAATACTTTGAATTAGTGCCTCTTGATTTCTCGAGGCATGGGATTTTTTTCTCATCACGCACGAACCAAGGCGGATTTTTCGAGCAGAAACCCTTAGGTCGAAACACTACTTGTACTGAGAAAATTGCAGACCGGCGGCAAAGTCAGCGGCAAGGCAAGGCAGACTAAAACCAAGCGGCATGTATAGTACCTTAAAATAGTTAATGGACCAAAAATTGAAATGGAAATTAACCTGATAGAGGTATAAATGCCAACAGCAGAATCTAACGAGGAAGATACTGAGAACTTGGTTAGCACAGTAGAAAAATATTAAACTATTTTCAGTTTCTTTTATTCCACACTAGTGGCCCGCTCTCGCTTTGCTTCGGTGTAGAGCTGTAGTGTAGACTATAGTTTTTGTTCAAAGGCTTGTATTATACACAATGACCTTCTTCATAATAATTATAAACCTTCCATTCCACGTAAAAAATTCGTTGCGTAGTTTAGGACCCGTTGTACCGAATTCAACATTGCTCTGCTGTTCCGACTTGACAAATTCTTTTTGTATTGGACATTGCATTTATCGAGGAAGGCTATAGGCTATATATTACCCGGCTACGACCAGTAGCAGCGGAGCATCGATGAAAAATGTTGCAAAAACTGGTAAAAATGTTCCATTTGTGAGATTCCGTTGCGTGCGCTGGGTAAAAGGTTAAAGTTGCACAAAAATCATGTATGACGGAATTCTTTCCCTTTAGAAGTTCTGTAAAAAAGCCCACGACAGCCTATGTCTATATTTTAAGTTTGACTCACTATAAATATTTTTCTTCAAATTAACGGGGGTGAAACCGCAGGGGACCTCTAGTTCCCAGCCCCCACGCGCGGGTCTACCTGCGCACGTCTGCGGGGTCCCCGTAATACCTCGGGTGACCCCTGCCGTGGAGCCCCGGCGAGGCCGGGAAGCTGCTGGATGTGGAGCCGTGGTTGAATCCCTAACGGGGACCCTGCGGCTTCGCGTTAAGCAGTGTAGAAGGTATTCGCAGGACTTTTTAGCGGATATTATGCTGTAAAGCGCCCGTAAGAGTTGCGGGGTCCTCGGTGGGTAGCCACTAGGGGTTCCGTAAGACTTGCGGGCCCAGGTGTGAGGTCCGTTCGGTGGTGTACCTCTTAAAGGCGCCGTTGTCTTTAAAAAGATTTTTTACTTGCGTTATAAAAAAAAAAAGAGGGACCTCTAGTTGTGTTGTGACATAACTCTAATAGTTAGACATATGGTATCGCGGACTTTTTTGTAGATATTAGTATCCTCTATAAAACTTTAGTACATCACTTTGCTCTATTTTCAATAACTTCCGCAGCGTACGCTATATAAGGCTATTTTTAGGTATTTTTTTTGGGTTACATTATCGAGGTTTTCATACGAAACCCTAACTTTTTTGAAAATACACTATAGCCTATATTAATCAGTGATAATGTAGCATTCAAATGGTAAAAGAATTTTTATAATCGGTCCAGTACTTTTGGAGCCACTTCGTTACAAACATACTTACCTACATACAAACCTTTCTTCTTTATAATATTATATTCCACACTAGCGACCACCCGCAACTTCGTCTGCGTTAACTTTAGTTTTTTTGAAAATCCCTCAGGAAGCCAACATTTTTTTCAGGATAAAAAGTATCTTATGTCTCAATCTAGTTAATAAACTGTATGTGTACCAAATTTCATCCAAATCCGGTATTCAGTAGTTTTGCGTGATTGAGTAAGAAACATACAAACTTTTACATTTATAGTATTATTAGGATTGCTCTTCTATATATTTGTATTTGTAAAAAATCTCTTTATATTTGTAAAAAAAATGAAAGTACCCCTTTGTTAGTTTATATTAATCTTACTTAGATTGCTTAGGTAGTTAGATCGATTTTTAAATACATTTTCTGAGATCATAAGTTCTATGCTCATATAAATATACTTACTTGGATGTGTAGGACACATATACTTTACTAATTCATTTAACTAAATAATTTATCTGTTCTTAGATATAATCTTACGATGAAACTTTTCAGTCTTCTCTTTATAGGCTGATCCATCCAGAAATGAGGCTTCTTAACTCTTTTCGGAAAAAACTGGACTTTCTCTATTTTATCAGAATATTACAAGTAAGAAGTTTTTATTAATTTCATAATGCTTTTTAGCAAGTTATTTAAAGTAGACATAGATTAATATCCTAGCATGAAACTTAAGTTTCCAATCAAATTTTTGGAATTAAGTTAAAAAAGAACATCTCTTAGTAATTCAATGCATTTTTCTTTTTCAAGTAATTTTTCTAATGAGTACCTTCCGATTTCGATGTGGTTTGATCTACCGATAAAAACTAGTGAAATTAAAATTTACACCCCCCCCCCCCCCCCCCCCCCTCCCAGAATTACGGACGGTCTAAATCGACGTAAAACCTGTTATGCATGTCCTAAGAGAGAGAGAAAACCTAAAGTAGTAAGCTGAAAAGAGTTAAGTACTTACATCAAAAGAGTGGTAACGTTTTCTACAAGACTGTTAAAAATATCGTTGAAAATTGCCAATGCCAAAAAATTATATACAGAATTCACTTCACGCATGTTCAATTACAGCATTATATGTGTTAAAGCTACGTCAAAAAAAATATTAACTGAAATTTCAATAATTATTTACAGGTAACCTCTTGTCTCCTGGAGAAATCTTAGGAAATCTCACCAAAATTGTTAATGATGCAACACCTTTCAATGATTATCCTGTAGGTGTTTTAACTTGTCAGAATCGCGATACATGGGCCAAACAAAGAGATTATTTGGAAGCTACAGGAAATAAAAATGTACTACATAAGATTGACACTGGCATTCTCAACCTAGTTCTGGATAAAGAAGTTTTGAACGATGATAAACATCAAATATTGAAACATTTTTTGCATGGTGATGGATTGAACAGGTAATAAGTACACTCTTCCGCAGCGGTTGTTCCTGATTGATAATAAATATAAATAAATATTTCTAACGCACCAATTAGCGTAGCCCTGAAGTAACACTGCAAGTCTTACGGATAATATACTATACTACTATTATACTAGGGTAACCGATAAAATACATATACTGATAAATATACATAATTATATTTTTCTCACCGGGTTCGAACACCGGGCCTCTGAGTAAGCAACACAAAATTGAAAATCGGCGTACATAGGTACCACTTGAGCCACGGAGGTCGTGATATTGATAAGTTTATCCTAGTTCTAACTCGTAATCTTAGATTAAAACAAAAAGGGAAGATACGGCACTCGCTGCTCAAAAGTGATCCACTTAAATTGTTGTGCATGTGACCACAATTCGCTTTAGACAAATGGACATCCATGCATATTGTATTTGACTTTGTTTATTGAAGTTAAGTCTCATTCATCAATCAGAATACAACACCTATTAATAGAAAAAATAAATTCAAATTTTGATTAAAGCCATTTATACAACATACACCCCCGTAATCAAATAAGATTATAAACAAGCCTAATTCCTCTTACACAATTCTGATGTTTAGTACGAGCTAGAGGCTTTGTAAGCACATCAGCCCACATCTCCAAAGTAGGAGTATATGCAACATTAATAATATTATTAGCTAATAAATCACGTATAATATGATATCTCGTATCAATGTGTTTGGTTCTATTGTGATGGACTGGATTCATTGCCAATTTTTGCGCAGAATCATTGTAAATAGTAACAATAGTTGACTCACCAGTGAGTTCGCGTAACAACCGCTTCAGAAATACAGCCTCCCTACCAGCATTAGATAAATGATATATATACTCGGATTCACTCGAAGACGTAGCAATACTAGTTTGCTTTTTACTCTCCCATGAAATGGCTCCTTCAGCCATAGAAAAGTAGAATCCGGTATATGAGCGAGGATCTATAGGGCAGCTGGCCCAATCTGCATCCGCGTAGCCAACTAGACATCCATTTTCTTTCCTGTAAGTAATTCCCAATTTTATAGTGCCTTTTAAATAACACTCGTTTTGCCGCAGTCCAATGACTTTTATCACCCTTCTATCTTCTCTGGAAAATATGTCTGTACGCGTTGAGTATATAAAACAGCTTGTATTTTTTATAAAGAGCGCTGCACCTGAGATACAGGTCTCCTAGTTCAGGTGCAGATGTATTTTTAGACAGTTGATTGATTCTCCTATTATTGTAAGATTTTATAAAATTCTGTGTACGAAAATAATTTTTTGGTGCCAATAAATTATTATTATATATCATATTTACTGTTAAATTGGCTCAAATAAGATGTAGCAAAAGCAATGTCTGGACGGGTATTGACGGCGACAAAATTGAGAGAACCTATCAACTGTTGATAAGGATATTCACTTACATTATTATCCTGACATGGCATCAATCTATTAGTATCCAACGGCGTAAACACGGCCTCACAATCCGACATGTGAAACTTTTGCAACAAATCACGAACGTAGCTCTCTTGAGATATCATACAACCAGTTCTACCAAAAACTACGCTAAAACCTTTATCTACCGCCTTCTTCACTGAAATAAGATGAGAGTTCAAGTTCGGTACGTGAACCACATCAGTAATCTTCTTTACATTTTTATTGTGACGGCAACTGGTGATAGAAATATCTCCTACGCCTTTACAGGGCAGTTCATCGCCATTTGCAATAGTCACAGTTCCCACAGGTGATCTTCTCAAGTTTTCCATCCAATCAGTTCGTGAAGTCATGTGGGCTGAAGCACCAGAATCTATAAACCATTTATCACGCTCTATTCCATCATTAGCATTCAGTGCACATAGAGCATTTTTGTGTTTGACTGGTTTCTTCTTTTTGTCCTTCTTATGGGGACAGTCTGCACGCTTATGTCCTGGCTCCATGCAGTCATAACATATCACAGGTTTCTTCAATTTGGATATAGGAGGTCTGGACTGGTTCATTCGAGTACGAAGAGCAGTGTCAGGGTTATCAAAAGCTGGTTTATTTAATTCATTCAATAATTTGGTCTTTATCAAATCCACGGTGATATTTATATTAGAATTTTCCAATGCCATTACTAAAGGTTGATAACATCATACCTAACCAACAGAAGGCAGACAACACAGATCACTCGATTGTGTATCAAGCGCAAAGAGGAAATAAATTATGTGTCTGAAATTCAGTGCGTCGAACGAGATGTGCCTCAGGGAACTGTATGGGGACCTCTGTTCTTTTAAGCCTTTATAAATGATCTGAAGAAATGAGAAACTAATACTGTTTGCTGATGACAGTACAGCTATTTTTGTCGGCAATGAAATCAATAGATGGATAAATTTTAAATTAATAATGAACTACATTATATATATAATGTAGTTATTAGTAATGAACTACATTATATATATATAATATTATATATATAATGTAGTTCATCTGTATTCCTAATTTGTTATTTTATTTTATTTGAATGACCTATCTTGTAATTGACCTATAATTTAATTTGACATTATCTTCATTTTGACATGTATTCTGATTTGACATTATGGTAACATTTTTGTATACACCCCGCCTGACATATTATTATTATTTTTCTTTTCTTTGATTAAGTGCGTTTATGCGTAAAAGTTTGACTGGAAACGTTTCCCTGGTCTTCAATTAAATTCCGTTTTCAAACAGGGGCATAGATCAAATTAATATTTAAAAAAAACATCGAGACCTGCTATTAAAAAAATCTTATTAATGTATAAATGAATATCTGATGGATAAGGACTTAAATAAATGATAAGAAGTTTAATTAAGATTACTGACAATTATTACTATGATGACATTTTATTTTTAATTTTAATTTAATTTTAACTGTTTTTTATGTAGTATAATTTAAAGTGCCGTTATTAATTCTATTTGTATGCTTGATGGCTGGTCGTAGTTGGATTGTATATTTAAGCATTAACCATGTATTACCTATGTATCACAAATAAATAAATAAATGAAATGAAAAATGAAAGGTGCATACTGAGGACTCAAGCCTTCTAGAAGAATCGCAGCTATTGATGCATCTTCTATAACTTTGCCTATGACGGCTAAATCTTGCACAGTTGACATTCAGCATTTATGTACGTCTCAATATTGAAATCAAAATCATCAAGGCAGTATCTATATAATTTGCGTTCGAGACTTATACGTCGCCCTATCCCTTTATCCTCGTTCATATGCGGATGATAGAGCATCTCAAGTCTCTTTGGCTGTTCTGCATGATCTGACATGTGTGATCGCCATTTCGTCTACTGTGAGACATATCTTAACAGTGCCTTTTGGTCGTTTCTCAACTTCTTTTCAACAGAAATATCGTTACCTTGAGCATAGCCGACGATCGTCTCCCACAACTCTTCATGCATCAGATACATACGCATTTTAAATTTCCATACGGAATAACCATCTCTGTTTACTAATGCTTTTATTCCAGATACAGAATTATTTGACATGTTTACTTAAGTACAGCTGTTCGATATCATAACAAAAATATTATGAAAAAAACTCTTCGTGGATTATTGAAAATTTTCACCGATTTTCATAATTTATATACGTAAGAATTAAAAAAAACTTACCGATTCACTTTTCTATTAAGAATCTGTAGTTTTTATCCGTATAACTTAGTTAAAATAGAGAATTCGTGCTGACAACGAATATTGTATTTGACTTTGTTTATTGAAGTGAAGTCTCATACATCAATCAGAATACAATATTTAATTTAATTGATTAAAGCCAGTTATACAACAAAACACGATGCATGTGCACTCAATATAACAATATTGCGTCCATTCTATGTTATAAAGATAAGAAATGCCTTCGATGATATTATAAAGAACACAAATAGTTAAAGATCAAATAAATTCAAACTCAAATCATTTATTGCAACCATAATGTGTACAGTGGGTGGTAGGTACTTATATAAATATGAGCATTATGGACCCCGTCGGGCACGCAATTGGTTATTAGAACCAAACGAACCAAACGAGCTCAAATTCCTTTAAGAACTAAAAGATCTAAAAGAAATTTGAGCTCTTTTTGTTATAGCTGCTATAATAATTATAACTCTAATTATTATTATTATATAATCATTAATTATAAAATCTAAATAAAAAACATAATTTCAACTTCCAGCAACACTTTTCATTCGTAAAACTATAATTTTTTTTTTCATAAAAATCACGGTTTCCCATGAATGTTAGTTACTGATTCGCCATTTTTATCAAGAAAAGGACAACCATACAATACCATACGTCAGTAGAAAGAGAAAAGAAAACTCAGTCGACTGCAAATCGACGCGGTCTCGCGCCGTGTCGCTCGCACTGCGTTGAAGCGTACTATTCAGTCTCGCTCGCTCGATTGAATGTTTATTTACAGAAGTGTGCGTGTGAGAGTTGCCTATGTAGTTAAGTCGGATCATATTTTAATTAATGCTAATATGAGCGTACCGCATCTTCCCTTTTTGTTTTAATCTAAGCTCATAATGCACTATACCTAAGGTACAGCACGCCGGGCTGTCGCAATAGCCGAACAGTTACCGACCCTAACTTGGTAATCGGTGACGAAGGTGGACTGTAATGTGAAATAAAACGGATTCTTATATAGAAAATGCAGCAGGCAGAGATGATCACTGGACCTTTCTTGTTGTAACGGAGAAAAACTTCTTCTTTGCTGAATGTCTTGAGTTGCTAGATCGCACTCCGATATTTATACCTGCGCGCCCAGGCCAGTCGGTGATCCAATAACTCACACCCGCGACTTTTTATTTTTATTTATTCGAGATACATGCTGTTGAGGTATAATACGAACAGAGGAGACCCAAGCACGAATTTTGACAGAACTGTACTGATTTCACCTGTTATAATAAAAAAAAAATACCCAATCCTCTCTTTTTTCCTCTAAAACCTCTGTTGTTTTAAGCAATTTTATTGAACCTGATATAAATTAGGCATCATGTTCTTCACCTATAAGATCCAATAATAATAAGAATCTTTAACATTTTCTTTCTGCTTTCAGATGGTTTGATAAGTCAATCAGTGTTATTATAACTAATGATGGATATTCTGGTGTAAATTTTGAACATTCATGGGGAGATGGCGTGGCAGTGCTAAGGTTTTTCGAAGACATCTATAAGGAGACCACGACACAACCATTTGTTCATCCGGACACGAAACCCTTGGACAGTAATATAACTGTTACAAAATTAGGTAATAAGAGTAGTAGTTTAGCTAGTAATTTCTATGTGTGTAAAAAAATAATCCCTATTTGACTTGGTTGAAACAGCCCAACAAAGGTACCCGTGCGCAGCTAGTCGTTCTAGGGGACTTTAACGCACACCACCATGAGTGGTTGTTTGCTATGTCGCTGGGTCTCTCCCAGCTTGTGAAGGGCGCTACACGTGTACCCGATATTGATGGCCACACACCAAATTGCCTGGACGTTCTGCTGTCAACAGACCTGGACCGTTATCAGGTGGTAATTTCGTCTCCTCTAGAGAGTTCCGACCACTGTCTGGTGAAGTCCGTATCAGTCTACTCTCCAAACGACCCGGAACCTATCGGAACTAGGCGTGTTTGGCGATATGGTTCAGCAGACTGGGATGAGATGCGACATTTCTTTGCATCTTATCCTTGGCGTCGCACATGCTTTTCTTCAGACGACCCGACTTGCTGCGCGGATGCCCTTGCTGACGTGATACGTCAGGCTATGGAGTACTTTATTTCATATTCTGACGTACCACGCCGGTTTAGCGCCCGCCCTTGGTTTGACGCGGACTGTGCTAAAGCGGAGGCGCTTAAGCATTTTGCGTATCGCTCCTGGGCGGATGCACGAGGCCGCAAATCACCAAATGTTCGAAGTCTGAAGAAGGCCTTTAACAGTGTCGCCAGGTTCTGTAAAGGTGTTCTCCGCAAGGCCCGCTTCGATCACATTGGCCGTATAGGAGCCAAATTAGCATCCTTTCCATCCGGAAGCAAGGCTTTCTGGTCCCTAGCCCAAACAGTCGAAGCCAATTTTTGCCAGCCGTCGCTGCAGCCTTTAATTAAGCTTGACGGATCGCTGGCTCACACCTCTAAAGAGAATGCTGACTTGTTTGCCTCTATATTTGCGAATAACTCACAACTAGATGCTGCTAGCGTAAATCCACCTAAGCTTCCTCAGTGTTCTTCTGCCATGTTGGAAGTTCGCATCCATCAGAAAGAGGTACTCAAAACGCTAAGCACTCTAGACGTGAATAAAGCCAGTGGGCCCGATGGCATTCCAGCTATTGTCCTGCGGAATTGTGCCCCTGAGTTGTCTCCTATTCTGACTCGCCTATATCGCTTATACTGGAAACTTGCCAATGTCCAACCAGTGCCCAAAAAGGGTAGTCGTGCCGACCCTGCCAACTATCGACCTATTGCAATCACCTCCATACTCTGTAAGATTATGGAGCGTGTATTGAATAAACGTCTCCTCGCTTACCTCGAAGATAACGATCTCCTCAGTGACTGTCAATTCGGTTTCCGCCGTGGGCGATCTACTGGGGATCTTCTTGTGTATGCTACCCACTTATGGAGTGAAGCCATAGAGAAACGCGGCGAAGCTCTCGCCGTTTCTCTTGATATTTCTAAGGCTTTTGACAGGGTCTGGCATGCAAGTCTCATTGGCAAGCTTCCTTCATATGGAATCGCTGTCGGCTTTTGCAACTGGATTGCAGATTTTCTGAGGGGCAGATCGATACGAGTGGTCATTAATGACACATCGTCGGATCTGCTTGGTATTAATGCCGGTCCCCCAGGGATCTGTCCTCTCCGCAACTCTATTCTTGCTGCACATCAATGATCTGCTCCTAACTCCCGGTATCTTTAGGTATGCAGACGACAGCACAGTTTCGGAGAGATATCTGCCTGATGTGAAGTCTGATGCAGATGTCCGATCATTAAGGGAGGCGATGGTGGAGGGAGTGAATGCAACCCTGGAAGCTGTTTCCCTCTGGGGTGAAGCCAACTTGGTTGGATTCAATCCTTCTAAAACACAGGCCTGTCTCTTCTCGACGAAACGGAGTCCATTCCATCTGACTCCTACTTTCCGAAATGTCTCCGTGTCGGTTAAAGACCATCTCGAGCTCTTGGGTATGGGCATCTCATCCAGCCTCAATTTCGGTCGCTACATCGAGTCCATTGCTAAAACCGCTGCCAGAAAACTTGGAATACTTTCTAAGGTCAGGCGATATTTTACGTCTGAGCAGCTCCTTAACCTTTACCGAGCCCAAGTTCGCTCCTGCTTGGAGTACTGTTGTCACCTTTGGGACGGATCTAATCGGTATTGCTTGGAGTACTGTTGTCACCTTTGGGACGGATCTACTCGGTATCAGCTGGATGCACTGGACTCGGTGCGAAGAGACTCATAGACAATGACGCTCTCGTTGAGGCTAATCTCCAGAGCCTTGACCACCGAAGACGTGTAGCTTGCCTCTCGGTGTTTTATCGGTTACATTTCGGAGAGTGTGCGGAGGTATTACATAATTTGTTCCCCTCTTCCCTCTTTTCACCACAGGACGACCAGGCGCGGCGAGGGCTTCCACCCTTATGTTGTCGAAGTTCCTCCCATTCGCACGAAGCGATTTATTTCGGCCTTCATTATACGAACGGCTAGGAAGTGGAACTCCTTGCCGAGGTCTGTTTTCCCGGACCAATATAATCTGGACATCTTCAAGGCCACAGTGAACAGGCATTTTCTAGGCAGGCGTGTACAATCCTAGGATTGTACACGCCTGCCTATGAGGCCTAGGCCTCATCATCGCTTTCCATCAGGTGAGATTGTGGTCGAACGCATTGCCTATTTAGCATAAAAAAAGGTCTCGCCATTACCGATGTCATTAATCTTTTTCCTAAGGATCGTAATACTTTTTAGAAGGTTCTTACAAAAAAAAAGATGAATATAGAGAACATAAGATTTAACTTAGCTTAGAACTCTACCCGATAGATGGCGCTGCAATCGGATTTTGTTTTATATTATAACGGGCAGGACGACGTCTACCTGATCCGTCAGCTCGTGCCTTATATGAATAAATGATGTAAATTGTTTATATTCACCATTAAACTCAATATCGAAATAATTTCAGAATTCACACTAGACGATACATCAAAGGAGTTTGTGGCAAAAGCCAAAAAGGAATACAAGGAGTGGTGTGATACTTTGAGTATAGATTACATTCTATATGAAGGTCTCAATAAAGAAGACTGTAAAAAGTTAAAAGTTAGTCCTGATTGCATTATGCAACTTGGGTTTCAAGTAAGTGATGGCAGGTGACTTTAATTTTGTTCTGGCCCAACTACCTACATTATTAGTTGTGGTAAAAATAATATTATAATTATATATATCTGTATGTAAATGTACATTTGATATTTTACTTTGTGTACATCATTTTCGAAGCACTGCAATGCATTATTTTTTGATGACAGGAAGTGTGGAAAAAATATTGATGTCCAGAGAAAGATCGGTGTTGACTATTCATTATCACCACATTTCTATATGATATTTATAGAAACCGAAATTAAAAAAAATATTTAAAAAAAAAATTTTCAGGCGGCTTACCATTTGTTATATGGAAAATACGTCGGAACTTACGAATCTTGCAGTACATCTGCTTTCAAACATGGTCGTACTGAAACTATGAGACCTTGCACCGTGAAAACTAAAGTGAGTCATATTTTTTTTTCTAAAAATTATGATATTTTGTCAAATTGTACCAGTGCCTGAAAAAAAATTTGGTTACAGCAATTTTGCGACAGTCTCCATTCAAATAGTTGTTCAAAAGAGGAATTACGTGCTATGTTGACTGAATGTTCAATGGGACACATGCAACTAATCAAAGAGGCAGCTATGGGTCAAGGCTTTGATCGTCACATGTTTGCCTTGAAAAAGATAGCAGAAGAAAACAACTTACATGTACCTGAACTTTATGACTCGCACGAGTATAAATTCTTGAATAAATCAATATTGAGCACAAGTACACTCTCCTCACCGAGTGTGCTAGCTGGCGGTTTTGGACCAGTAGATAAAAATGGATTTGGTGTTGGGTAGGTGAATTTATTTTATCTCGCAACATTGATTATTTTAGTAATTAATATCTACTTAATCATTAAACAACGTCACTTAGGTATATTGCTCTGATGCCAGATAAAGTTTACTGTGGGTAACACTTGTGTTTTTTCCTTCAGAAACAAATAAGGATATACACTGCTGGACACATCTATTGGCCCACCTTGTATTTTTAGTTTCGTTTGGTCCTAGCTAAAATTTTATATTAGGTCGAGCAAAAAGTTTTTATGCAGTTTTGAACCTGGCACATTCACAATTTTATTCAATAGTCTTTTTTTGAATTTCGAACACAGAATTTAAAGAAACAAAAGACAATTTGGAGCCTATTTGTTGATAGCAAACAATCGAATACTAAGAAAACTTGGTTTTATTGGTTTACTTGGATTTAATTCTTGAAAAAGTGATTGATATCTTTGGTTTTGCAACAAACATTACTTATTCTTAACATTAAGGTGAGGTTCTATCAATAATCTATGGATACTTCACCTGAAGTCGCCGCTCAAGCTGTGGCACTTATTCAGGCCGGACACAGCCAAAGAAACGTGAGTGCTCAACTTAATTTAAGTCGATCTGCGGTCCGAAATGTTTATCGGAGGTACCTAGAGACTGGCGGCTTTGTTGGTCGCCAAGGAAGGCCACGATCTCGGGTCACAACTGAAAGGCAGGATCGATTCATCGTGACGACCAGCTTGAGAAATCGTCACCGTACCTCCATTGAGATACCAAAACAAATTCGCGACTTCCACGGAGTATCTGTGAGCGCTCGAACTGTTCGGAGAAGGTTAAAAGAACGCCATATGGTACCACACAAGCCAGCTAATGGACCCAAACTAACGCGAGCCCACCGATCAGCGCGCCTTCATTTCGTACGCAGTCATTTAAATTGGACACAGCAAGATTGGAGCCGTGTACTCTTTTCTGATGAGTCTAAAATTGTGTTACATGGCAATGATGGAAGGAAGAAGGTCTACCGACGTAAGGGAGAGCGTTTCGCACAATGTTGCTTTGAAGAGAGGGTTGCTTATATCGGTGGCTCATGGACTGTCTGGGGCGGTATATCCGCGAGCGGCAAAACTCAACTTGAGGTTGTTACAGGACCACGGCTGCCAACATTAAATGCTGAAAGGTACATTCGTGAGTGATACCATACGCGGACTATGTGGGCCCAAATTTCCTTCTTATGCATGATAATGCAAGAGCCCATGCGGCCGGCATCGCCAGGGAATATCTTCGGGATGTGAACATCACAGTTATGGACTGGCCAGCCAGAAGCTCAGACATGAACCCCATTGAGCACATGTGGGACGAGCTAAAAAGATGTGTTAGGGCTCGTCAGCCAGTTGCCCAGACGATGCAGGAGTTGAAAACTGCCATAGAAGAGGAATGGGAGATGATCCCTCAAAATTTCATAGAGCGGTTGATAAACTCTATGCCTAATCGTATGAGAGCTGTGGTAGATGCCCATGGAGGCAACACGCGTTATTAAATTAAACCTTTATTTGATAAAACATGTTTTTTATTCAAAAATCAATTGCCTTTAACAAGGCGCATATCCGACTTGTTAGGCGTAGCTCCATGTCGTATGGTATTCTGAATTCAAATTTAAAACAATACGATCGAAAAAGATGGTAAAATGTATCAGGTTTAAAACTGCATCAACAGTTTTTGTTCAATCTAGCAATCATATTTCGGAAGGGGCCATCGAAACCTAAACTCTAAGGTGGGCCAATAGATGTGTCCAGAAGTGTATAAAATAGACCAGTCAGAAAATATAATAATATAGTCCTTTCAAAGTATATTTTTTTTAAATTAACAAATTATGTCATTTAATTTTGAGATCACTTACCCCTCGGTTACACCAAGAAACAAGCCATATATGAGTTTTACACAAAACTTGTAGAATACTTGTTGTCACTGTTTAAAACATTATTTTGTTTTACACTGCAAAGACAATTAATATCTTTACAAGTATAAATCATTATTTACTTCACATATTTTGTTTATCCAATAAAAGTATTTTATACAACATGTGTAAGTGTGAACAAAAAATTAAGACATTGTATAAATTTTGTTAAATACATGGTATTATACTTTGGTGTAAGTACTTGTTTTATTTTACAGATACTCAGCGTTCCCTGACAAGTTGGGCGCCGCAGTAACCAGTTACAAGCCCTATAATGACAGTTCGAAATTCATTGAAGCTTTGCACAAGTCATTTCTAGACATTACCAAAATATTATCAAACTAACTATTTTTATATGATGTGTATATTATTGTTGAAAGTAATTTTATAATAGATTTTTTACGTAGTAAGCACAAAGGCTCAAAATCTACAAACACTATTTTTAGAAATATCTGTTTAATGTTATGCATTTCAACAAACAACACTTTACTAACACCGCTACGTACAACGCAGAACCATACGGTAAACAAGACGTTGCCGCGATAAATTTAGACAGCTATAAAACATTCCGTTTGAAGTGATTGATTCATAAAATCATTTTTTTACAAGAAGGTGTACCTAGATGTGCAAATTTGAATCATAAAGGTATTACAATTTATGGTTATCGGACCCAATTTTTTGCAATGAAGTTATTAGTGACGATGGGGATGATGCATTTTTTCTTCGTCTATCAGGTTGAATATCAAAAAAATATTGCACACGTATTTGCTCTTTATTCACACAATCCAAACTTTACAGAGATATATTGATTTTAAATGTCACGGCTTTGTACAATTTTTACTTAGAACTGACGTCACGAGCCCTAGCTCCCAAACTTTGACGCGCTTTATCTTTGTAATTTTTTGGTTGAATGATAAAAGAAAAATTATATCCATAATTTTTACATAATTTAACCGACTAAAGGGAATTTCGTTTACTTTACCCCGTAATCATCCCTATTGTAAAAAAATATAAGTTCTTTTTGCATTTTTGTTATTTTTTAGATTAGAAGCGAAATAACAGTGCCTTGGGTAATCAAGTATATTTGTATATGTAGAGGTATTATTATAATAAGCAACATCTAACAGGCTTTCTCAATAAATAGTGAAAAATTGGTTAATTCCCATCCATGATAGACTTCATAGCAAATTTTGTAGATTTTAAGGTTTCATACAAAAGAGTTACAACGGGATCAAACCTCTGCAGTTCGTCCTTCCGTCTGTCAATCTCATTAACATTAATAGGTATACATTTGCCATTTTCACAGAATCATGTTATTTTAAGGATTAAATCTAATACAATGGTATGGAACCGTTTATGTGTGATTCGCACTGGCCTGTCTATTTGTCTAATTATGACTCAAAAGTCATAATTAATATTGCTTTGACCTTACTTCTCAGCCGTTTTTGCTTTTTTAATTGTATCTGAATACTAACAAGAGTTCGGAATTTTACGTGCCAATTCTTTTCGTATGTGGATGCTAATTTTATGAACGTTTAAACACGTTTATTAATACTAATCACCTACGAATATAATTCGTATGAAATGTACCAAAGTGCGAGTACGCTTTTTTGCAATCTGATCATTTGCATCATTCCTTATTCTGTGCTTATTTTTGGTTATGGTATTCCATGTGCCTTGAAGATTGAATAAATATATCTATTTACGGGTGTGCATTTTCATAATTTATATTTTGTATGGCTTTTTGAATTTTATATGTTGAAAAATAAACGTTAATCATATTAAACTATTAAAACTGGCTATTTTTTTGAAATTTTAAACTTACGCATAAAAATGTGTATTATCTACTTATTCTTCTGACAGCTAATCATAGATCATGAGCGGACGCGAGCTGAGAGACTTATGCTTTAGTGATATAATCATAGTGTGATGTCAATATGATGTTGATGCCAAGTTGACAATGTTTTTAAATGGTATTAGGAAACATTCACAGTCATATCAAGATCATATCAATATCATAGCCTGTATCACATTTTTGACATATATGCGATACTGTTTTAAGTCAAAAAGTTGAATGTAGTAGGTACGCATTTAAGTTGATATCATTTAAAAGAGTTGATCATAATACGCATAAGTTGATATCTAGTTAATGTCATTTTGATATCGCTTTTTCGGAGAGCATAATATACGTAATGTGAATTGACATCAAAACAATATCACAATTAGCGAGCATAATTGACCTGCTGAGAAATAGGTATTTGAAAAAACTATTGCTGCCACGCATTGGCAAATACCGTGCGATAGGGACAACAGTAGTAAACATAGAGGAATAAGAATAGAGTGGGGTAGGCGGTTCTAAAAGTGTCCGTCTAGTAGAAAGAGAAAGAAGATGAGAGACAGCTATCCCTTTCTCTTGTGACGCATGGCATCCAATGGCATCACGTCGAAATAGTAAGATGCTGATGGTTGCCAATGCGCATGCGCGATTAGAGAGAGAAATCTAACAGTCCCTCATCTTCTTTCTCTTTCTATTATAGGGACACTTCCACTAGCAGTAGAGTGTATATCTCCCCTACTCTATTCTTATACCTCTATGGTAGTAAACGCTGAAAATTGCGTATAAAATTGCAAACGACGATTTCCTCCTCGAAAATTTAACATGTCAAAGAAATTTTAGCCATAGAATAATCAATTTCTTAAACTATGCCTCTTATTTTTGCCTTTTTGTAAATTCTTATTTAATATCCACACAGACGTCTTTGGTGGTGATAAAAATTTACATAAACAGTCAAAACCGAATAAAACGACGTGTCGGTTATTACGACTAAGGTATTACGTTAAGCACTATAGGGGGGTCTTTGCTTTGCTTATTTTTGATGACATGGGGGGGGGGGGGGGGTCGAGATAGTGATTACGTCAGCATCATGGACTGAAAAAGTTAATTGGAATTAATATGTATTCGCTATGTGCGAAGTACATGGTGGGGGTATAGTGAAGCGATCGCAGCACTTATCGTGGCAGAAATACGCAACAATCCGGGAAAGTAAAGTCAATTTGCACGGAGTTCGTAAAAATAACGGCACAAATAGTTTGTGCATATATTTCCTACATTGGACTGGAAATTAAATCAAAGAAATAAAAAAAAAATGGTTGCCTGTAAAGTCGGTTTTACGGGCGAAGATTTTACGTGACAACGTCTTTTTCTCGGTAGAATATTTATTGATATGAATATAATTAAATTGCACAATAGGAACAAGGAATTGAATGAAAATAAGAATTGCACAAATTTTAACTATAGAAATATATTTTGTTTACTAAAACATTGTACATGTAAACTTAAACTTAACACGAGAGACTCATCGTAACGTTACCGAGCGTTACACTTTTTCATAAGTGACTCCCAGCCGCAACCTAATTTAAGACGTTGTCACGTCAATAGGTAGATGCCATAAAAAGAAGTAAGTAAGCGAAATAACCTTAAATTATGATAAATTTTATTTGCGCTATATTTTATGTGATATTCATTATTGTCTTTATTATTTTAGTGTTGATGGGTCGCCATGGTATCCCAAACCTGACGACACAATTTGTAGTGAACATTTTATGGGAAACAAAAAATCAGATGAGGAAGAAAATCCGAGTTATGCTCCTACGATATTCCCTGAAATATATCGAAAGAGGAAGGTTAATGATTCACAGGTCCTAGCTAGATATACACGCTTGACAAAACGAAGAACCACAAAAGTCTCATATACCACATCAAGTCAAATAATAATTGAAGAAGGGAGTGAATTAAATCAAACTCAACCTTTTATGGTCGATCAAGGATGTCAAGTCAATATGTTTTCTGAATCGAAATTAAGAGAACAACTTTTATTTGTATTAGATTAATTTACAGTGATCACTGTGATGCTGAAATCTAAGCAGATATAGCAACAACATCAAGAATTTAATGACAAATAATTTAAGAAAGAAAGATAACAGCTGTGGCTCTGACAAAAAATTGTATGAGGATCAATCTACCGAAAGAAAAAGTCAAAATTTTGTTGGTATTTCATCAATAAAAAATGATCAAGAACTCCTAGATCTTGCTGGTGTGTCATTTAGCAATTTTAAGTTTTTATTAACAAGATTAACTATGAAAAAATGTATAGTTTCCACTAAAGACCGAATTCTGATTTTTTGATAAAAATGAAAACTGCCTTGACATTTTCAGCATTGAGTATGTTATTTGGTGTACACAAAACCACAATCTCACGTATATTTCATTCGATCTTACAAAATCTAGCTATAATGCTTTTATGGTCCCTTCAATGTCGTTATATCCGGTTTCGACTGTAATTGGCATTTTTGAATTTAGCTTTGAAACACCATCGAAAAAAGGAAGACAGGAGCATATAATGAGTAAAGTTATATTCCATGTATGAAATTCAATTCTTGGGTGATAAAAATCAAGGAGGAATCAGTCAAGAACGTTTGTATCTTAGATTAAAACAAAACTTCATTGGCGGCGGGATTCTCTCCTGACTCCTGTGCTGATCATCTCCCCTATGGACAACATAAGGGAGCGTTTCAGCTCCTCGACGCCCTCTGGCGGCATCCACTGTGTGGCTTGAGGAGGAGCAGGGTGTACTCTCTCCTCCGCCAATCTCCTCAGCGACCCCAACTCCATCCTCATGGCTGCTACCTCCGCTTTTATATGTTTATTCTCCTCTTGGAGTCGGAGGTTTTCCTCCTCCACCTTGTCAAGTCTTCGCCACCTCTGTCTTCCGCAGTGCCACCTCCAAGAACATCAGTATTTCGCGTGTTGCCTGTAGGGTATTCTTGGTATGCTTGTCGCTCGAAAATTGCCTTTCTACCATTTCGTCTACATACTCCACGCGCTGGGTGATCGCGTACCTGATCTCCTCCGTCGTGAGGGTCTTCCATCTCCTCCTTCTTAATACTGTACATTGGCTTGGCTTCCCTGTTCGGAGAACTGGGGAAGCTTTACGCTTACCGTTTACCCTACGTGAAGTGTTCACCTTGGGGGGCGTCGGTGTTAAGCCTGAGAGTCAAAAGTTTTTATGAATTAAATTAATATTTCAAAAAAGATATGCTTGCTATGCTATATAGGTAAGTATTAAGATTAAAACAAAATGGGAAAATACGGCCCCCGTGATCAAAAGTGCGCAACTTTAATTAGGTGCATGCACACAATTCGCTTTGAATTTAAAACAATATTGCGCATATTCTGTGTTAAAAAGATAAAAGAATGCATGCAATGCTACTGAAAAGTGCTCAAATAGTTCAAGAATTACAAATGCTACGGCCTCACTTTTCTCGAAAGTCTTGGATTCTTATGAATGTTATTCGCTTATATTCGATTCGCCATTTGTTATCCAGAAAAGGACAACAATAAAACTCAGCTCTTAGATTATATAATGTGATGTCCCGCCGGTAACAAATAAATAAATACCTCTGCCAGGAGGCAAACCGCCGCGCCTCCTGGCTTCTCCTGGCGCTCTCGTTACAACATCCGATCGATTTGCGTTTATAAACGGTAAGGCACGAAACAAAGAGATTGAGAACCACTTTCACCAAATGTTTAAGCCTCATTCTTTCTTTGACTTTAAGCAATTGACAGAGATGGAATGATGTGTTAAAGACATAGAGCAACACGGAACGCGGCGGCCGTGTTGTTAACCTCACCTTACCAGAAACAACAGTAAAATAACACTACCTTTTCGTTGTGTTGTGTTTCTGCTGGTGAGTAGAGTTCTAGGGCTATATAGGCTAGGACACACCTTCTGCTGCAGCATCTATCTTCGCGACTGGACTCCACTTACTCTTAACATCAGGCAGAAGGGGTAATTTGTTGCGGCTCGTATAAAAAAATTATGATTTCTATTTGAATTTCTGTCTGGAAAATATTGGAATATCTACATTGAAAAGGTAGGTAAGTACACATGGACAATCGAAAACTTACTGCGAGGTGATCTTCGCGTGGGAGCTGCGACTTAGTTACGAGTGTCTTGATATTTAAATATCTCAGTTGCATGATTACCGGCACTCTTACGAGACAATAGGAAATCGACATCCGCACACAGAATACTTTACGTACTTATAACGCTATTCTTCACTCGGTGTGGTGTCCAAACTAAGTACTTAGCAGAGCTACTAGAGATTCGCATCTAGACGGTCATCCGTCTGGTGTTAATGTAGGTATGACTGTGCGGTATGGACGCTAACGCCAAAGAAGGAGAACAAGCTCCTCCTAATAACTAAATTTGACGGAAAGTTCTGGGATCATCAAGAAGAATCCGCAAAACTGCGAGATAGAACAACCCAATGTCATCATGGGGGAGACTAGGGCTGACTAACTCCGCTGGCTTAGTCACATGGTCGAGAATGGATCCGATAACTTCGCGTACATGGGAATGTCTTGTGGGCGAGGATCGATTGGACACCTTAAGTAGATAGGTACCGCTGGAAAGACCAAGTATTCAAGAGTCTGTTCGTACTGTGGGAACTCGCCAACCCATAGGAAGCTGTACAAGACAAGGAGTAATGGCCTCATCATGTGTTGAAAGCCAAGATGTCGCTGAGCCAGTGGAGAAAGTAAATAACTTAGGCGAACAGAAAAGATAGCTTAGGCTCACAGACTATTAGAATGTTGTTTTTTTCTGTGGGAGTAAATAATGTTTATGTCGATACAAATGTACAGTTAAGTATACTACCTATTCTATTTATTATCGTTATTTAAGGTCTATTCCATCTATATTTTTATTACTCAGTTACCTACTATAAAACAGCCTACACTGCATTATCAAAGGTTAAATCTATCTAGATCGGTTTCCTTTCATCCAAACGAGTGAACGGTGCAATGTGTATAGATAGGTTACTGTCTATAAATACAACGGGTGGCGGTTTAATTTAGCGACGACTGTTATCGATTTTCCCGTGTCCATCTTGTAAAGGAAAATATTCATAGTGAGGGTCAGGGGAGGAAGCGTAATGTAAGAAGGTAACTAGATACCTATTTATTTTTTAGTAGGTACCTACTAACATAATATTTGATAAAACTTACTCATTTAACGTAAAGAGCCTATTAACTAGGTCCTACTGTTTTTTTTTTACTAAGTAATACTTTAATATTTCGACATTTGAAGAGACTGCCGCAGGTCCGGTGACAAATGCATTTTTATTTAAAGGATTTATATTAATTTAATCTGTTGGTATATGAACAAAGTAATAAACTATAATTATGGACCCAAGTATCATTCATACATTACATTTATATTAGCAATAAGTACTTCTATTTGTGAAAAATTAACGCATAAGAAATTGTCTTGACTATGAATACTGTTACGTGTACTATCATCCTACTACTATATAAAATTAGTTTTACTGTCCTAATGGTTCTTATTTTCAGTGCAGCAAGGTTACATTTTTGTGATACAATCCCAACGTCACTTTGTTCTTCTATACGCAGAATCAACAGCGTTCCAATCTACGACCGAGCATAAAGAATCCATGCCTGTAAACACTTTATTTATTTACCTTGTGTACCTTGTACATATGCAACCAATAAATTGTTAATATTTGCGCAACTAGTCACTAGATAATCGTGATATTTATGCCATAATTATAGGTGCTTCTATCAAGTTTCTGATTTTATGTCAGTGTATATATTGTAAGCATGTAAAGGAATGGCGCTTAGGACGTTCTTGCGACGCGACGCGACTTTTTAAATGTCAAAGTTCATCCTTCGTACAATCGTATTAGTGAGTGGTTTTGTTTTGTGTGGTAAAAGATGAATGGAACCAAAATATTATTACAGTGACTAGAAAACGAAGGGGATGTATGAATTACTCACAAGCACGAAGTGTTACAAAAGGTAAATATGATATTTTAGCCATCAATAAACAAGTACCCATACATAAAATATAATTAAATTTGAGCCCTTGATGTTAATGTATGTTACATTTAAACTATCCAATAACTGCACATGACCAGATCACATTAATAAACAGTATTTTATGCAGGTGTATAAGACTTCATTTTGGTAGTTTTTTATTTAAATGGAAGTACTCCTTTTATAAGTTGAAGAAAGATACTTCTTTAGTTCAGAATAAACAATAGCATTTCCTACAAATTTAATACTTGCTCTATTAAATAACACTTTTTCAATGTGAACCATTAATTTTGGTCAGTGTTTTATTCAAGTGATTAGAATATCTAGGAAGCATTTCAGATTTGTCAGTGATGTACTATACTGCAGGTATAGTATTTTACAACTTGAAGTACTGCCTATAGTCTATGTTTTCTCCTATATTATTATTATTATTATCAATATAACCCTAAAATTTTAGTACCAAGAGAGACTCTTATACCCTAAGAACTGTTGTATTTCTTACCTACCTAATTATGCATTCATTGGTAACAATATTAAATAGTTTTAAGTGAAGAAATTAAAATGGTCATTTTTCATCCCAACTTAACCCCAAACCTAATTTATTATATGATATGTAACTTATTCACTACATTACATGTTGATTGGAAGTAAAATTTACGACGGCAGCTAGAGCAGCAAATATCATATAGCCTTATGAGACCTCTACCCTCACCTTGCTGGCCTTTTTTTTATTCTCCTACATTTTGAAGATCTTGAAATATTTATTACTTTACTGTTGTACTCTCTCTTAAAAATATATCTTCTATTGTGAAACTATAAGTGCTTACTGTAATTGAGTTTCTAAAATTATGTGATTGATAGACTTATAATTTTGTGATTGATAGGCTTATAATTTTGTGATTGATAGGCTATTGATAGCCTAGCTAGATAGATAGGCCTAACCTAACCTAGCTAGGAATATGTTAAAGTTTATTGTTCGAAACAATTTGAGTATAATAATTATGTCTGGCCTTCTGCCCACAGCTTCATCCGTGAAGACAACAACTTCTAACCACTTTTTTAAATCCTCAGTGGATGAAGAGAATTACCAACTCCCTTTACATTAATTATAAAAATTACATCTCAATCCAGAAATAACAATGTTTAATAAATACTCCTATTATATTCCCTAACTATGAATTTCCTAAAAAGATAACAATAGTCTTTTATCAAAAGAGTTACCAGTTTTCACATTTTTATTTTTTTTAATTTATGAAGTTCCAATACTAACTTCAATATAAATAATACGATATAACCAATGAACTAACTAAAATTACCTATCTAGTTAATTTATATGCGGTACAAGTAGGAGCGAGAGGTATAGCAGCATAATCTCTCTATAACCTTCTAAAAGACTAGACTAGGCCTGTCTAGAACTGCAATAAGTTCAATATTGGAATGTGTAACTAAGGCTGTACTAACAGGCTCCTATCAAATTTGGCTAGGAAGGGCGGGCAACTCAAGCAGTGAAGGTGAGGGTTGATGCGCATCTTAAAGGGGGCCTCCTGAAACCTATACCTGGGTCGCAAGTCCCGGGAACTGCTCAGAGTTACTCTCTCTCCCGCACAATGGATCTGGCATCTGCACGGTGAATCCATGGATTGCCAAGAAGTTTATCTCTACTACAAACTATCACCCCCTCTATAATCCTTTAGGGAATGAATTTCCAAAGATCTTATCATTAAGATGGGGTCTGCTCAGCTCACCTGCATCATTAAAATAATATTTAATTATTTTTATTTATATAGATATAAAAAAATTCTCGAGTCTAAAGTTGCTTATGAGTTTATGAATACTGATGTTTACCTAAAATAGACATTGTTAAATGAAAAGGATCCAACCCACAACCTTATCGAAAATTAGTTTAGTATTCCAAAGTACTCCTTAAGGTCAATACTATTAAAACACGCCAAAGTTCCAAGTAAAATTCAAGTGTCATGTGATTTTGTATTTGTATTTTGTAAAAAGATAAAGTTGAGAATCTAAGAAGAAATACAGTCTGAAGTTAAAAAAATCATTTTATATCAAAACTAAGTTTGGGTGGGTTGGATCCTTTTCATTTAACAATGTCCAAATATAAACATTAATTCTATTATTGAATAATTTCTTGTTTCAGATAGTTGTTATGAATATTGACGATAGATAAACCAACCTTCAAGATGTTGATCAAAGAGTACAGAATTCCTCTACCTCTGACTGTAGAAGAATATCGTATTGCGCAGCTTTATATGATTGCAAAGAAGAGTAGAGAAGAAAGTTCTGGAGAAGGTAGTGGTGTCGAAATTTTAGTCAATGAGCCATATGAAGATGGGCCTGGAGGTAAAGGTCAGTACACACAGAAAATTTACCATGTTGGTAGCCATTTGCCAGGTTGGTTCAAAAGTCTGCTTCCAAAATCGGCTTTGACTGTGTCTGAAGAAGCTTGGAATGCCTACCCATACACCAAAACCAGGTATACTTGTCCATTTGTTGAAAAATTCTCTTTAGAAATAGAAACTTATTATTATGCTGATAATGGCCACCAAGATAATGTCTTCAATTTATCAGGAAGTGATTTAAAAAATAGAATTGTTGATGTTATAGATGTTGTTAAAGATCAGCTTTATGGTGCAGACTATGTTAAAGAGGAAGATCCAAAATTATTTGTTTCTCAAAAATGTATTAGAGGTCCCTTAAATGATACATGGTTAGAAGATTACTGGAGTGAAGTTCAAGGAAAACCTCAGCCTCTACCAAATGGAAAATCTCTTATGTGTGCCTACAAGCTCTGTAGAGTGGAGTTTCGTTATTGGGGGATGCAAACCAAACTGGAGAAATTTATTCATGATGTTGCATTGAGGAAAACTATGCTTAGAGCTCATAGACAAGCATGGGCTTGGCAAGATGAATGGCATGGTTTAACAATGGAGGACATACGTGAAATAGAACGGCAGACACAACTTGCTTTGCAGAAGAAGATGGCTGGTGACACTAGTGAAGAACAAGACCTCTCTGAAGAGAATTCTAAATCATTGGCTGCAACTATGAGTAGCTTAGAGAAAAATGAAGACATACCGACACCAGTAGCTCCTAAAAAGAATACAGCTGAAAAAAGAATTCAGAAACATTTATCTCCTGAAGGAACTCCACCATCTGACCATAAAAGTTTGTCTAAATCTAACCTAAGATCCTCTTCATCTGGTTCTATTAAAAGTTTACAACAGCAAGTGGCTAACTGGCGCATGGAAACAATAGTTAGAGAATCAGAAACGGAGACAGGATCTGAAGATGAGTTTTACGACTGCGAATCTTCTTTTAATAAATGGTCATCAATGTGCTCTTTAGACGAAGCTGATATTGATATATCTCCAACCCAAGGCGATCAAGGTCAAGATGACAGCATATTTAATCCAAGTTTTTTGAAAAGAGTCACATCAGAAAGAGGTTCTCGTAGAATGGTTGCTTTACAAAGCCACCAAAGTATTGACGGTTGTCCAGAAACGCCAGTTCATGGTTCCTGTCCGACTACCGTTTTAATACTTGTATTTCATGCCGGAAGTGTTTTAGATGCTAATGTTGATATGACAGCAAAGAAATCTGATGTCACTACTTTTAAGGGTGCTTTTGAATCGGTGATGCGTCAACACTATCCAACTTTAGTCGGACATATAACTATAAAATTAGTATCGTGTCCGTCTATTTGCACGGATGCTCTCGGTATTCTCTCTACATTAAGTCCCTATAGTTTTGATTGCTCGCCATCGACCATTGAAACTCCTTCTCTCACGAACGATCTTATACCTATTGGGGCTATACCTTTGATTGCAACATCATCTCCCGAGTACACAGACTCAGTAACAAAAACAATTAACTGCGCTAATTTTGTTTTTAATGAGTTTATAAAATCAGAAGACGGAAAAGGTTTCAATGGTCAAGTATGCATTGTTGGTGACAGTATGGGTTCAGTTTTAGCATATGATGCGCTATGCCGCACTTTACAATATCAATCACGACATGATAGTGAAAACAGTATTTTGGATACTGAAATCTTGATACCTAATGATCCATCTGAGAATTATTTAAATAAATCGCATTTACAAGCTCCAACACCTAGGAGACGATCTTCTTCCACAAGTGACAATCAGGTGAAGTTCGAATTTGAAGTATGTGACTTCTTTACATTTGGAAGTCCGCTTTCATTGATATTGGCTTCCCGGAAAATATCAGATGATAAAAGCCGTGATATAATTAAACCACCTGTCCAACAAGTATATAATTTATTTCACCCCACTGATCCAGTAGCTTCGAGACTAGAACCTTTGCTATCAGCTAGGTTTACTAATTTACCTCCAATCAATGTTGCACGATACGCTAAATACCCTCTAGGTAATGGTCAACCATATCATTTAATGGAGTTGATTCAAAGTCATCCACAACTATTCGGGGATCAATTACAAATGCCACCAACTCCCGTATTGCGAAGATTATCTGAAGCATCAGTCCAGAGTACAGTTAGCGGTCTTGTTGATAATATTCCTTTGATTACTATGAATGCATTGCAGCAGAAATGGTGGGGATCCAAACGATTAGACTACGCTTTATATTGCCCCGAGGGATTAACAAATTTTCCTACCAATGCCTTACCACACTTATTTCATGCTAGTTACTGGGAGAGTTCGGACGTAATTGCATTTATATTGCGCCAAGTTGGTCATTTTGATTTAGCCTTGTATAGTCATGGTGAAGATAAAGAATGTACCTTATTCAAACCAGATCAAGAAAGGGAAAAATGGATGAGAAAAAGAACATCGGTTAAGTTAAAAAATGTGGCTGCTAATCATAGAGCGAACGATGTTATTGTAAAAGAAGGAAATCCTCAAACATTCACTGCTAGGTTTATGTATGGACCCCTAGATATGATAAATTTGACAGGAGAAAAAGTAGACATTTACATGATGAAAGATCCTCCAGCAGGTGAATGGTTAATTTTATCTACCGTAGTTACAGACAAAACGGGTAGAATCTCATACACACTATCAGAAAAACATAGTGTAGGCTGTGGCATTTACCCAATGAGAGTTGTTGTCCGAGGTGATCATACAAGCTGCAACTTCCATTTGGCTGTTGTGCCACCGCAAACGGAGTGCATTGTCTTTAGTATTGATGGTTCTTTTACTGCAAGTGTATCAGTGACTGGGAGAGATCCAAAAGTGAGAGCTGGAGCAGTCGACGTAGTCCGTTTTTGGCAAGACTTAGGTTATCTAATTCTTTATATCACTGGACGCCCTGATATGCAACAAAGAAAAGTAGTATCCTGGTTGGCAGAACACAATTTTCCTCATGGATTAGTGTTTTTTTCTGATGGGTTTTCAACAGACCCATTGGGTCATAAAGCAGCACATCTGAACAGCCTTATAAATGAACACGGAGTTATTTTACATGCTGCTTATGGATCAGGAAAAGATATAACTGTTTATAATAATTGCGGATTATCCCCAAAACAGATTTACGCCATCGGTCGAATTAGTAAAAAATATAGTAATTTAGCAACCACATTAACCGATGGCTACGCATCCCACTTGGCTGATTTAAAACAGCCTGGTGCCGTAAGGCCTGCAAGAGGAAATGCCAGGCTTCTTGTGCCACGTCGTCTGTTGGCATCTGTGAGTAACCCTTCCACTTCGCGCAATCGTCGTTAATGTGATAGAATTTATCACGCTTTATCTCAGACGCTTAGATATTATTAGACAACGCCCAAGCTGCGATATTTTTTATAAATATTAAACTGTTGATTCCGTTTATTTATAATGCAATAAATGTGATTATATATAATTTACCTTAAGAAGCGTAAATTAAATTTAAATTAAGGTATGTAATGTGTATTAAACAATTCCCCACTAAGGAGGACTCCACACTTTCCCCCTAATATTGTAATTGCTTACGTTACGTGGTTACATAAAAAAAAATAATCTTTTACGGGGGTTGTTAACTGTGCTGATGTTGTTATACACACCTGCAGGATGTAGTCACCATGTACCTAACTGTTTATATAACAATAACATTTATTCTTTGACCATTCAAACAATAGGAAGGTATTAGTTATTTTATATTGTATTATATTATTATAAATCTGATTATAATATTTACCTATAACTTATAAACTTTAAAATAAGTATTCTAAGCTTGCAGGTAAGGTAATCTCCAAATTATCTACTTTATTATGATTCTAAGCAAGTACATTATAGTCTTGTTTACTTTATTATATTTTAAAAGTTAATATTTAGCATATAGCTTTCTGAAACTCTCCTACATTAAATTATAATCGCGTAAATTCAATTCTTTTCTAATAAAATTCTACATTTTAAAATTTTTAAAAATAACCAAGGTTCATTTACATCTTCATAAAATAAAAAGGTGTAAAGGCAGCCACTTATATATGACAATTAAATATAATCCTTGCAACTGAAGTCTGTTTCCTGAAACTGTTGTCTTATTCTATTGCTATCCCATAGAAAGTGAAAACAATGGGGTCATCAATTATAATAAAACTAAAAACTATCACAAGTCTCTGAGTGCGGCCTTTAAACCCAATTTAACAGGATAATTGAACTTTGGTAACCTTTTTAGGTTCCATGGTCAATTATGTATTATTATATATATGTGAGTAGTTTCAGTGGAAGTATGATAAACATTGTTAAAGTATTATAATATTATGTTAAAACCATTAAATGGCAAGGCTATTTGTACATTTCCATATTCTTTGCAATGACCTAGATATTAATAAATAGAGTAGCTTGGCTATGATACCGTAGACTGGAGCTACTTTGCTCACTTTAATGGTGTAATTTACACACGTGTGAGGATTCAGTTCTGGTTGTAATGAAATTAAATAAAAGCACTAATTCAGCTCTACACGAACATGTTCTTTCCTGTAATGAAAAAAAAAACCCTAATTAAACTAAAAGCAATTCATTTTCATGCCACTGGTGGAACAAGTTGATGACGGGGACGAAGGGCTAATTAACGGAAAACAGAACCTTAACTATGTAAAACAACCAGGTTGTAGTTAAATTAACAAGTACTGTCAAAATGTCTGACCATAAACTTTCAAGTAGGTAATTCTGGTGTTTTAGTATCGACAAATCAAATAATTTTTGAGAGGATTTAAGGTTAGATAAATATTTTTAATTTGCCTTAATAAGGAATATGCATGTGTGTATTAAACGCTCATAGTGAGCGTTTATAAAGAGATAAACTACTAAAAAATATATTTAAAAATCATGCATTTTCCCTATTGATGCCCTTACATTTAAATGTAGCCCCAGTTTGCGGTAGATTAAGGTTAACAAATTTTATTTATTATTAAATGTTAGTATTAGTTTTCTTTTTGTATTAATTCATTCCTATTATAAGAACCGTGTGTGTAAGCTATTGAAGTGAGCCATTGTATGATGTTTACGTTAATCAGAGAGCTTCGATCATCGCTCGAGGTCAGAAAACCTATATTTGATTGTACACATTCATACATAAGTAGGTATGTACTTAACTGTTCATTTTTCTTTTATAAATCTAGATCTGGTATTGTTTATTTTTATTGTCAGTTATATCCCTTGTACCCTGGTAATCAATTACTTACAGTAATTTTATTACGGCAAACGCAAAATTTCAACTATATCAAGCGCCACTAATATAGGTGTGGCATTAGTTATTAAGTCCCTAAATCAACCGTGATGAAAGGGAATTTAGACTACACATGTTTAACCGTGTTAATATTTCATATTATGGTGAATTCATATTGCCTTCGATGAAAAGCAATCTTTTTTAAAAGAACTTGAAGTTTAATAGTTCCTGCAAAAGAATGTTGTCTTAATATAAGTGATTAACGAAGAGATCAATATTTTATGCGTTGTAAGATGTAGCAAAATTGGCTTTCATTAGATCATCATTTTTTACATAATTAATACATACTTATTTTATTTATCAATAATTAATTTCATACTATATATTGCAATCAAAAGTTCCAGTTGGGAGTTTTACTTATTTTAGCAAATTCAATTACGATAGTTTATAAAAAAAAGTACTTATTTCACAACTCTGATGAATCGTATTTATCTATAACACGGGCATAAATAAGATTTTTTTGTTATCTACATTTACCTAAATCAAACGAAATGGACAGGAAATTAAATGTAGTACCAGTGGACAAAGCAGTAGAGGCACGGGTGCATAATTGACGCAAAAATTTACTGTTTGGTAGTATTTTAAAATAGGGCTGATTTCAATTCAGTATCTCGATAAAACTCATTATTTTGTGTCATGTGTGTTATCATGTTTACGAACAAAATAAATAGTTGTGTAAGTTTATGACTTTTTTATGTGGTGGACATAGAGCAACCCGGCCAACGCGGCCAGGAGGGGAGTAGGCATTCACAGCGTGCCCCACTGTCGATTTCCCCCCGCTGTTGTACCAGCTCAAAAACGATAGTTGGGTTTCGTATATTTTACTAGACTGAGTCAAGTCCGCCGAGTGTATGTTAGAGAACAAAAGTACCAAAATTTTATGTAATTTGCTGTAAAACATATCTAGAATATTAAACTTACAAAAGGATGGTGTTAAATTTCACAATTACATATTATTTCTATTTAACCACTTTTAAACACAAAATTCATATTATTTTGTTAAAATTCAATCGTCGGATTTGTTTGACAAAACAATCGAGTCGCTAGTACAAATTTCAGATCAGTCAATAAAATATCTGAAGTTTCATCTGTGCCCGATTTAGCGCCGTAATTTTTTATGTGTGAGTAATTATAATGCGATTCAAATAAGAATAGGAAAGCCAATGACCTCTATCTGTCAAATGTCGCTTGAAAAGTACGGTTTGCAAAAAAAAAACTTGGAACTCTTTTTTAGCAGTCCGCTAATTCAAGAATAAAAACCAAACATTAGTGAACAAACAATAACAAATATTGATAATTAATATCGGTTGATATTTTTTTTCACTTATTGAGCTTTGGCCATGAATGGTTGATAACCTAAATCGTCAACCAAATGTCACATTAAGTTGCGTTCAGAAACTCGATTTCAAACTTTCGTTTACATAAAGGATGCATGTTCGTATGTAACCTAGTAATAGTGCATGATTATTCATAACTACTCCGGCGGTAATGCAGAGATGAGCGGAATATAGAAGAGCTAGATTCTGATTAATGCTTTTTCTCACAGTCATAATAAATATATATTATTAAAAATCGGTGGTTTTTGTTTTCTCAATCTAAGTAAATTAATGTTATTAAAAAAATCTGATGCTTTTTCTCACTTAATGTTAATAAATAAGTTTTATTAAATAAAAACTTTTTTTGCCCACTCTACCTATTTGGTTTGAATTGACAGCTTTGACATCACAATATGGCGTCCAGTCGGTCCTATACTTAGTTGAATCGCAGTATACAATTTCGTTTTTGCGAAAGTATGTTGTATTGCATTTGTGTGCTTATTCCTCCCCCCGCAAAAAGCGGCAGAATGATTACTATTCTAGAATCAGTACTATTCTACTATTATGTCATTAAGGCTACTCCCCTCCTAGCCGCGTCGGCTGTGTTTCTCTGTGATGGTAAATGATTGTTCGTTTTGTTATAAGTAGGTAATCATTTATTTGGCATAGAAGTTTAATCCGGTACTATAAAAACATTTAATAATACTTAGTATGGAAAGGTTTTTTTATTCAAATAATACAGATTTTTTTTCTTGTTATTTTTATTATACAATATATTTTTGGATTATAAAGAGATACATTTGGGAACATCAGCTATCAGTAGGTTTGCTTAATTGATATTTTGAATACTTTAAATGATAATACATTCCTTCCTGTGGTATCTTTTACTATTAGAAAATATATTAAAGTACTAGAAAAGTCCTTGCTGATATCGCAATTTTTATTGCGATTGCAAAATAAGTATTTTTATTACTATTTATTTATGTATACTCACGTTTCTACTTAGATATTTGCCTAGGTCGAAAATCCTATTCTTTGTTTATCGTAATCAATACATTTAAGCTTTATTCAGGAACAGCAATGGAACTATAAAAATACTTTTAAAGGAGTTTTCAACCATTGCTTATTATTATAAATAATAAAACCGGCTATATTGCCTCGTATCAACCTATCTCAATTTTCGTTAAGTTAAATTACAATTTAAATTATACGTCATTTCAGTTTCACTAAAGTTTAAAATCATAATCATCAAGCACTCGAAAAGTTACCTCTATCTTCTGTATAAGGAAAAATATCCTGTTATGATCTAACTTTTGCTGTCTGTAAATATTTTCAAAAAAGATTCGTTGTTTATTTTATAATATTTGTTCAACTTGGAAAATATTATTGCCATTAGTTTTTGCTTGTCAACTTTGAATATGAGTCTTTACTGTCACACGGCAGGCGGGGACCAGCTTAGTGTGTAATTAGACAAATCTATTACTCGGGTCTTGTGTAATACGGTTGACTTTGCCCCTGAACAACACGCTTGACATGACCTTGGTAGTCTGCTACAAGTTGAGTGCTACCACATATTAGGTATTAAGAAAAGCGGTCCCAGCCACCCACCTTGGTTCAAAAAGTTAAGGCTCTTAATTTGATAAAGACAGGTATTTAGAGCTTATTTTTGTTATTTAGCGGAGTTTAAGAACACAGAGAGATGAATGGAACATTCACTTCAAAGTTCTTTTCCCCAACCACTATCTTTAATCCGCCTATTGAGTAAATATTCCATGTAAATAAAGAAATACCTATATAATATTCTAAATATTAAAACTTATTTTACTTACAAGGTCAAAGTAACAACAGTCAATACATAAGGGCTGTGATTAAATACCCGCAGAGTGTATGCGTTAAAAAGCAATACCTAACATGACTTACATCCGTACTCAAAACATCAGTTAATGTTTAAACTCGAATTAATTGATGTTATTACTTTCCTTACATAACAATAGAGTAATACAACGCTTCAATGAAAGTATAATAACATTTTATCTGAGGTTTCTGAGTGCGGTCGTAGGTCATTTAATTGACGGTAGTTACGCGATGGATGTGGAGTAACAAGACTTAAAAATCATATTCAAATTTAATCGCATTTCGGCTGCTGTCATTGTCTCGATATAGATGTGTTGTTTATAGACATGAAGCACCCTTTCGATATTGATTCGTAATGTTCATTGCAATGTAAATGTATTTACAATTAATTTATATTTCAGAAGACTAAATTATTGTTAATATTTCGTTTATTTATGAAGTTAAGATATATTTAAAACTGTCTTTGATACTTTTTGGTAACGTAGCACTTTGTAATAATGGGATATCTAATATTTTAACTAAAAATATTCCTTAGATATTAAAGTTTAAAAAAAATATATGAAAGACAGAAATATTTATTGTATAATATGAGGTATCATCTTCCCATTTTATGCTAATCAATCAATGCTAACAAACGATCAAAATTGTAACTTATCAAAAATTTACTAACAACACCAATCACATAAATAAATTAATTTATTTTTAATAACTTCCACAGAAATTAAATGATTCAAAATACCTTATTTTAAAATAAAATTTTTGACGTGACAACGTCTTAAATTAGGTTGCGGCTGGGAGTCACTTATGAAAAAGTGTAACGCTCGGTAACGTTACGATGAGTTTAAGTTTACATGTACAATGTTTTAGTAAACAAAATATATTTCTATAGTTAAAATTTGTGCAATTCTTATTTTCATTCAATTCCTTGTTCCTATTGTGCAATTTAATTATATTCATATCAATAAATATTCTACCGAGAAAAAGACGTTGTCACGTAAAATCTTCGCCCGTAAAACCGACTTTACAGGCAACCATTTTTTTCTAGTAAACTTTTCTTTTAAAAAATAAATAAAAACATA